AAAGGTCTCAGACAAGTAGGGCAGATCGAAATTCGAAGATAGATCCCCTATTTGTGTCCTGTGGGGCCTCAGAAAGGGCCTACGGCGCCGCGATATACAGCTGTGTGCAAATGGGCAAATAATACAAACATCAAAGTTAATAGCTCGGTTAATAGTCAAATCTAAGGTGATCAATATTACGAAATGAACATCAACATGTTGCAAGATGGAGAAGAGTTGCCTCGCAAAAATCACCTCAAGACACTCAATCCCTTCTTGGATGCAATGGGACTATTAAAAGTAGGGGGTAGATTAACTAATGCAGCCTGCTTGTCGACACAAGAGAAACATCCCTTAATATTGAATTAAGGGTATCCATGTTTTCTTGAACTCAAAATGGGGTGGACATCGAAGAAGTAGGGTAGAATTAATAACTCAAAACCTTCCCCATGCGTCTAAATTTATATGATTAAATTGTGGAATAAATAGTTGCGACTAGTTTCGACGTTACCGTCATCTTCTGGCTATAAGTTTTGTTTAAACAAACATTGAGATAAAATAATAGTACAAACCTTTAAAATTAAGGAATAACAGTCTATGGTTCCCTAAATGGTAGAACGAGTAGTTACATATTGAACAAAAAAAGGTGCATGCTGAAATTTTAAGGTTAAGACTGTAATCGTAATTTTTTTTAAAAACTTACGTGAAAAATAACATAAGAATTAAAACATCAGTAAGGACAACTACGTTACAAACGAAAAAATTTGACCCAATAAAGGTCTCTTAAACAATTTTAATTTAAACAAAGTTCGTTTTGACAATGTGCGAAGGCCACCGCCATAACAGTGACATTAGCAATTAAGAGCAGGTTGAGCAACTTCAGGGAAACGTGAAAGCGGGAAATTTTAAATGTAGACAAAAAGAAAATATGGAAGAGAGAAAAGTAGAAAGACGAAAGCAGAAAGGAGAAAAGAATGCAATATTGCTTGCACTGGGCAATTGTTTTTTCTGTAAATAATTAATATTCCCTCCAAAAAGTCATTTGACCACACTAATCGTAAACCTGCCCTGTCCATGCCAGAACCCTTCATGGCAGGTACCAAATCACATTGGCGAACATACGAGCAAAAATCTGGTTCGTCGGGAGTTCAGAAGCTGCACTGTTTGCGATTCAACCACAGAATGGGGAATGGGAAAACTCCTACGGCAGGGGGAAATGTAACGTACCTTTCCGCAACCGCGGACTAGAACTACGCAGGACCGATCCAGATTCGATTGAGCAAGGGAAAACGAAACAAGAAAGAGGGATACATCTGTATTTTTGTATCTATGTGCACCAAGGCGATACACCTCGAAGCCGTAAGTAAAATTACTAAGAAAGCAAAAGCTCTACTGCCCAAAGGTCCATGCGTCAGATGAAGTCAATTGGAACCTCATTCCCACGGCAGTCCCTCACATGGGAAACGGCAGTTAAATCCACCAAACGTCCCTTTATTTCTGTTTAAGATGTTAAAGTAATTATTGGATACCTTTAGGAACTAATTTTGGTTAGCCGACGGCAAACAATAATTCATTTTCAAAACTTTGGTAAACGAAGGGAAGACATTTTAAGATCTAAATGTTCTAAAGTTAATTAAATTAAAAATAAACTAACATAAACGAAAACCATAGGAGAATGAACCTAAAAGGTTAGTACCCCATATACATAATTAATCCAAACCTGATCACAGCCACTATGTTGGAACTTTCGGAACAAAAGGCACAGCTAACTTTCTGAAACTTCCATATACAATGAAAATTCGTCTAATTTGGCAACACTTATGTAATGTTTAATATAATTGTAATAGTGGTCATTAGGTATAGCGACAAACGACGAAGAGTACAACTATATGTATACCTAGAGCAATAATAAAAAAGTGTCCACCCCTCACGCATTAATCAATGCTGTAGTCACTTCCCGACGGCAATCCTTGCGTGTGAAAGCTGGAGTTTAATAATGATTAATGGTAATATCTACGAGCAAAATTAATACTGGTGTAAAAAGTGCTGAAAGTGTAGCGCAATAGGGACGCTATAAAGAAATTAAATGGCATAGAAATCGAACCCAATAAGGTTTATAACTCCATAAGAACCGCAAGGCCTTATTATAGTTCCATTCCAAGCTAAATATTGAATTAACCCTAGCAAGTTTTACGTCTATTTAGAAGTTCCTGAGCACGTACTCGCCTACTAAGGAATCGGAATGAATGCAAATTCAAGCCGTTTCCGTATTACAGTTACTTGTTGAAAACAAAAGAAATTGAATTACCTAAAGCTAAATGAACAAAACTATTATTTGGCGTGCTCTTTCCAGGACTTCATATTTCAGTCCTGAAAGTAATGTAGGCAATTAAAGGAAATAGAATATGAGGACATTATGATTGATGTTTCCACCGGCACTAACTTGCCATCTATTTTTCTTATACTTGAAAAGAGCCGTCTACTCTACAAGTGGAGCTTTTTGGAACGCAACGAAACCCAAAACCATAAATTTTAAACAACATTGTACACTAGTATCTATACTGTTCGCAAGCATCGTAATATCTTCAATCGTTTTCTTTTATTTTCAACATTACCCCATCGACATATAATAAATGGACTGCGCGTGCACGGATACTGCAGATGAGAGAGAAGGGAAAACTAAGAGCGCAAGCTGTCTCTTACGGTTATGCATCTGATTGGTTCTTTCAACAGAACCGATCGCGATCGCATTCAAATTAAATTGAATTGCAGTCTTCGAATTTAGAAAAAATCCAATTCCAGATTCGTGATTTTCATGTTGTGACGATTTTTTTTCCAAAACTGTACACGTCGTTTTCTGGATGGGTGGTTGAGTAAGTATGGGCAGGTTTACCTTGGGAACTTACATCCATCTCTTTAATTTCATTTCATATTTAAGTTTCGCCCCTCCACCTGAGCCCTTCACTCTCTCCCCCTTTCCTATGGGGCGGGTTTCAGAAGCAGCCTATCATCTATCA